CCACTAACATTAATATTTAAAATGCATTGAATAATTTTATTCCAAATTTGGGGGAAGAAAGATTGCAGGACTAGAACAGAGTTGGCCTAAGCGGGAGCCCACTTAGACGCATCTGGTTACCCAACCTCGGGAAGCCATTTCTGCTCTGGACCTCCAGTTCTTATGGGACCCTTAGGATTTGGAGAAAAGCCTTCTAGTTTGGCAGTGAGTCATGAATTCCCAGAAATACAGTGGCTTCAATTGCTTTCTATCGGCAATCTATCAGCATCTAGCGACTTTAAGGAAGTAATATTGGAAAAACATACAATCAGCTTAAGAATACCAAATAATGCTTTTCCACTAGCCAAACACTGAATATTCAAGAAACAAGTTTTGTCAGAAATGATTTGCTGTGACTATTGGAAAAGTTCCAAGGACTGAAAGAGGTATGGACAGAATCTGTAAACTTTATGAACGGTCCTGTGTTGAGGAGGTTGTTCATACAACCTCAAGCAACCCCCCAGGCCACTCACCATCACACTTCTCCAGGATCTGAACTGTATCTCCAATTTCCAGTGACAGGCCATACGGGACGGTTCCTCGAAAACTGGCAATAACTGTAAGACACGATACAGGCATATGAAGACAACCATGTCCGTGACAGCCAGTTACACTGCTTACTACTAAATGTTAATGACTAGGAAAAATGAAAGTGAATAGGAAGTACACTTTGATAGCTAGAATCTTCAGTCACATTTTAATTTTATATATTTTTTAAGAAAATCATTAAATTTATATACTTTGCCAATTTCTTAGTCAAATAAGTATTATAAATATGCATTTCGCTACCCTAAAGATATATAACTATTATGTACCCATAATTAAAAATTAAAAATACAAAAAATAAAGATATGCATTTCAAAGATATGAAATTTATTTAAATAATATAAAAAATATCAAGACTATCACCCAGTAACATGTAAACAAAGGTATTGTTTGGGAGCTCTATAAGGAATTGGGTCCCTCTTGTTCACTGCTCTATTCACTTCCCCAATCCAGAAGCCTGGCCCATGGGAGTTTATAAATATGTGCTCAATAATAAATGATGAGTATATATCTTACTTGTTATTAAGCTGGGTTTACCTTTCTGCTCTATGGTTTGAAGCAGAATTCTTTTCCATAGACTTTAAGCTTTTCAAGAGACGGCACTACATCTATTTGCTCACTATTATGTCCCTAGGACCTAGCACAGTATGGGGCTTAAAAGCAGTCTTCCTGTGTAGTAATCGATGCTGACATTTTATTTAGTAATAACTGGACCCTCCCCTAGGACCAAACACACAGCCACTGTGACAATTCCCACGTGCTTTAGCTCTCATACCATCTGGAATGTGGGGGAGGGGGGTGGTCAGCATTAATTATAGATTAATTCTTTAGAGTAATTGGTTTCTGAAACATTTCATAGGGTGGGGCAGAACTAGGACGTAATACCTACAGAAAGAAAGCGTGCACAGATTAGTCATCCCCAGGCAACTCCAAGAATTACAGAGACAATGAAACTCAGTGATTCTTTCCTGGATAGTAACGCTTGAGTCAAAAAGGAGGCAAGGATGGAAGCAGAACGAAAATGCATCTCAACACACAAAGGAGAAAAGACATCTCCTGTGAAGTACTATGCATGCTGAAATCAACTAGCAACGCACATCAAAAGAAAATGATTTTTAAAAGGCCAAAATTTTAGAAGTGAATCTTAACTCTTTTTCACTTCAGAGAGTGAGAATTAGATATAGTATCAACCCACAAAATAAGTTATGACTACTGTTGGCAATGTATTTTAAAAGCCTGAGGAACACATGAACCTGCAAAAATCAAAACATGCCAGTAAGTAATGGGCTTGTAGAGAAGTCTCAAGCCCTTTTATGATCTCAAAAGAAAATTAACAGCAGAGATCAAAACACGGGACAAAAAACACAACCCAAAGTACATGAGAAGGATGAAAATAACTACATAGAAACCAATTAAGAAAATTTTAGACAAACACTAATTTATGATGTCATTTTCTAACTATAACCATAAATACCATATGGCCTTGTATTGATGTGCGAGAAGATGTTTGCTTGAAAAATAATCAAGGGTTTATACATCTTGACAGATTACTTCATATAACTTTCAGAGACCTCCTCTTACAGGGGATCAATAACTGAACAGACAGTAGACTGATTGCAATTTAAAAGATTTCAAAACAAACTTGCACCCAGAATTGCCTTTCTACACTCATGAAGTTACCTTAAATTTTCACAACCCAGATGGTTCGACACTGTGCACCACTGATTATTCTCTCAGAGGTCTCAGTGTCATGGACTTCCCAACACCATCCCGCATATAGCTCTTACCACTTGGGAACGGTCTCCTACACTCCAGGCTGCCTCCACACACTGGCTGCCCTCTCCCTCCCCTCGCCATCTTCTTGAACACAGCAGTACCACTCATGGCTTTCAGTTCTTCACCTTCCCTTCTTGCCTCAGCCTATACAATCCAGCCTTCACTATGTTCTAAAACTGTTCTACTAAGGTCTCCAGTCCCCTCACTGCGGCTACATTCATATCGCATTTCAGCAGTCTATCCTCTCTTGGATCTTCTACTGCTTCTCTCACACCCTGCAGTCATCTTCTCCAGACCTTCTTTCCCAGCCCTCCTCCTAAATGCTGGTGTCATCCAGGGTTCCATCCTCAAGATGTAATGGCAGGGAGCAGGAAAACAGCATCAAGCTTGGCATCATGACACACGGATTTGAACCCTATCTCCGCACTTATCACCTATGTGACCTTGGTCAAGATACCAACCTCTCAGAATCTCCATTATCTCATTGGGCGAATGGGGCTAATAATAAAGATATTGTACAAGGTAATGGGAGAATTAAATAAAATAGCTATAAAATAGCTTACTAAACTATCAGGTATATTTCAGTCATTTAATAAACACTGTGGTTGTTTAAACTATACTTTTCCTCTTCTGTCCATACACATTCTCCCTAGATGGACACAGTTCTAAGACTTCCAGAATCACATTTTGATACATGACTTGCCAACTGTCTCCCCAGTCCTGATCTGTGCCCTGAGCTCCTGACACAAACTTCCCACTTGTACATCTCTATTTAGATGTCTAAGCACCTAAAACTTAGCATGCCTTCAACTGAACTCATTCTCTGCCTTCATCCTCCAATCAAATCTGAGCTATTCTCTCCTTCCCAATCGCCCACTCCAAAATGTTTGTCCTGCTTTATTCTGGGAGTCCTGGGTGGGTTTCTCTGACTCTCAGCAGGGCTACTGCAAACCTTCTAGGAGTTCTTCCTGTCTCCACGGTTATCGTTCCTCAGCACAATGCCCACAATGCCACCAGAGTTACCTTTGATTCTGTCATATCTCTGCTTACGTTTCTTTTCATATGATAGCAGGAAAATTATCTTTCCTTGATTACATTCAATTCCTTAAAAAGAAAGAGGTACTAGAATATATCACACAGTGTTGGACAACAGCTTAATGAGGTCAATCGTTTTCCTCTTATTTCATGCTGCCTTGGAGCCAATTACAACCATAAAGCGTCTTCAACCTGGATTCCCTTCTGTGTTACCTGTTGTGTTAAATGATAGAACCATCCATTGACTGTACAAGCCAGAAACCCAGGGGTCATCCTCACACACCCTCCTGCACACAGCCAATCCATCACCGTGTCATGCTGATCTTATCTCGAATATCTCACAAAGCCACCCTTTTGTCAACATGTCTGTCCACTCCCATCATTGTCTCTGCTCACAGTCTCCTAATATGTCTAAGCACAGGTTTCTCTCCAATCTATTTCACACACAATAGAGAGATCTTTTCAAGATGCACATTTGATATCATCTTCCTCCTAAATATATCAAAGCTCTGAGAACAATATGATATCACGACCGCGGCCTGTAAGGCCCCGCCCTTCTGTCTGGTCTCATCCTGCACCTCTCAGCCCCACCTGTGTATTCCAGTCACTACAACCGTCTGTCCACACCTTCCTAGCTGAACTCCTTCCCGCACAGGATTCTGCACATGATTGACCCCTTGCAAGAACAGTCTCCCTTTCCCTCCTTACCAAGTTAACCGCCATTCATCCTTCATGTATCGGTCCTCTGGTCACTTCCTCAGAGAAGCCTTCCTGGATGCACATCCCCCAACCTAATTTTAAATGCACTCATAGCACCATATAACACCTAATCACGCTCCTTTTTGTGCAAGTTTTTGAATGATGGTTCCTGAATTTGACTGTAAGTTCCAAGGATAGAAGGACTGTATTGGTTTTGCTCCTAACTATACACCCAATTCAGCACAGAAGCTGGCACACACTTTGAGCTCAGTAAATAGTTACTGAGTGAATGAATGAGGGCAGGGCGTGGCTATTGCTGTCAAATGTTCTGGTCTTCAACACTCAGTTTCTTTTATTATTGGGAATATTATTTTAAGAGAATGTTCTAAATTCTAAGAACCAAACTATCTTACCTGTGAATACTCACTGTTTCGTGAGAGCTGTTTAAAATGAGTTTATCTGGGTCATAACCATGTATAATCTCGTCTTATCCAATCAGTCTATGTGGGTAGATTCTGATTTTACTCTTCAGCTATGTAACAGTTAATAACTGTTAAAGGCAAGCTAATAAATTTTCCAATCTCACTGGCCTTCAGATGGCTCTTCTATAAAACAAAAGAACTAAACGAGGAGAACTGAAAGGTCCCTGTCAGCCCGAAATTCTGAGTCTGGGAGAGGTCTTTTAGCTCAGCAGTGACACAGCGTAGTCCTTACTGAAGAACTCCGTCCCCAAACCAGCCTACTCTGTTTAGCCACTGCCTGTGATCAAATGAACATGCGTCCCCACCTGCAACAGCCATCTGATAAAGCAGAAGAGATCGCCTGCTCTCAGCATCTCACGTAAGGTTTCCACCAACTGCTCTCCTTCTACCTTTCCAGGCTCACGCCCCCCCCCCTGCACACACCCCCTATGCTCAGCCATACCCAAGTCTCATCAAGCTCTTTCTTGCAGACCTCACTGCCCTCACATACACTATTCCCTTTTTAGAAGGTTGCCTTCCCTACCCCTTTTACGCTGGGAATTGTAGAGCAGCCTTAATTTAAGGTTTAACTTCAAGGTTAGAAGATTCCCTAATGCTACTCCATCCCTTTCTCCATCCTTGGGTCCACTCCCTCGTCTGTGCTTGCAGGGCACTTTGACCATATCTTAAATAGAGTAAGGTATAGTACTTTATTTACCTGTGTCTTTCTACTTGAGAGGATAAACTATTTCTCATTCATCTTTCAACACCCAGAACAAGTGTCTGAGTAAATGAATGAAGCCACTGAGAAATGGTACCCAGGTTTTAATGGATTCAGATAACCTCAGGGACACTTCCCATAACTAAAAATATCTAAGCAGTAAGTACTAAACAGCAGATCATACTGGAGATCTCAATCTTTGAGTTGGACAAGTAAGTCCACCTTCCTGTGTATTAATGAATACATGGATGAATTCTATACTCAGGGAAGATATTTCAGTTTCAGGTTATGAAAGAGAAAAGTTGAAAGAGAAAAGCAG